TTCGCTTCCTGTACACTGTGTAACGAATTATTAACAAGGTGACAATTTTTCATTTTGTCCAAAAACTACCTGTGTTCAATTTAACGAAAAATCCACAGACTAATGGCAATAATTATATGCGCGTACCTTGTAAAAAGGGTAACGTTCCACAAAAAAATACACAGAAACTACAGTCATTTACCTATTTTACTTTTATTAATAGCGAGGTATAATTAAAATTCATGTAAAAAAGAAAATAACGGTTTAAGTGTTTCATATACAGATTGTTACGGATATATACAGTAACCGACCTGAAATAAATAGAAATCAACAAGTACAAAGAGTTAAAAACCATGGTGGAGCTGGTTAATAAGGGATAAGCGATCCTCTTCTTGAAATGACATCATCATCATCTTGCGACCTCAGCCGAAATTGAACTCACCAATACATTGATTAGTGTAGTTCATAATCTTGTCAAATAGCTGAATTTTTTATGCTTCGCTAGGGCTATCAAGGGTGTTTTTATCGTGAAACCAACACTAAATGGATTGCCAACCAAGGCTCAGAGAGACTCCATTCACTCTCATCTAAGAGCAGGTTTGAATTCAGAGTGTTCCTTCTCCTAGAGCAGTTGCTATCCAAGGCTATAGAACTCAGTCTGTCCTGCTATTTACCCATAGCTGGAGGGAGAAGAAGAGGATTCACACCTTTCCCAGTGGTATTAGCACGTAAGTGAATGTAATGGATTCGACTGGAATTCGAACTCGGCTCTCCGATGCCTTAATCCAAGCCGCTATCCATTACTCCACCGTGCCTACTTGAAATAGATTGGGCGCTAATCCATGGAACATGTCAATTTCTTGATCTCCTCTAATGCAATTCTACTTGAAATATTCCCTATTGCCTGTCACAAGTCCTCCTTGCTTCTAAATTGGCGTCTATTCTCGTAAACCCGTTGCTTCAGAATGCCACACAAGTTTTCGATTGGGTTTAAGTCTAGAGAATTGGCCGGCTAGTTAATTTTCCAAGGTCTACAGAAACTTAATTGTTGCAGATACTCCGTAGTTTTATGCGCTGCATGCGAGAAAGCACTATCTTGTATATATATATGATGGTTCTCCTGAACGTGATCCTGTATTTTTTAACCAAGGTTCAAGAGGCTCTCTCAAGAAGGCTATAGAAGCATCTGCAGTCATTTTAAAACCGTCAGGCACATTCCATGGGCCAACCATGATATCGCCATCCCAAATCATGATAATCCCTCCTTCTAGTCAGCGTCTCGAGCGTTGATGACGATGTCATCTGTTTACGACCTAACCTTTATTCTACCCAACAGGGTCATCAATGGTGGAACGAGATGCACTCGTGAAGGAAACCTTTATCTTCTAGCCATTTCCGTTGCTTTTGCACGTGTCTTTTTGTCAATGGACGAGTTGTCACTGGTCTCAATGATATCCCGACGTTTTTTCAAAAGACGACATCGAGTAGTTCTGGACACAGTTGTTTCTCTAATGCGCCTAAAAAAGTTCTCCGCTGGTCAGGCTTGGCTTATTTACAGCTTCACATTTAATTCGCGACTGAGAACGTTGGGTAACAACCCTCGAATGACCTTTATCAGTCGTCTTACGTACCTTTGTAGCATCTGCAACATACCTTTTCAATGTTTGGGGATAACTTCCAATCATTTTGGATAATTCTAATGTTGATTTACATTTGCAAATTCAGATGTTATAACAAACTTCTCAGAATCGGTTAAGTCACAACTGCGGCCCATAATTGCACGATTATGAAGTCACTTGTTAATAATTTGGAAAATTGAAATATCGTGTTACTCATTCAAGTGGATGCCTTACAGTTTTCACACAGCACGCGCATATAATTGTTGTCATCATTCTGTGAAAATTTCGTTAAAATCCAACTAGTAGTTTTTGGACATAATGGAAAATTGTAACCGCTTTAATAATGAAATTTGTTAGACAGTGAATATCGCCATACTTCAGTTTGCCAATCTATCTATCTATCTATCTATCTATCTATCTATCTGTCTAATGTATTTATGTTCAATGTGCTTCAAGATATAAAGATATTGTAATAACCACTATATTTTTATGCTCCATTATCTTTATAGATACCTGCACGGATGCGTTCATTCACGCTCACCGAGACCGGAAATATAACAAAATATTGACACTTTTACGTGAAGACGTTTCTTCCTTTAGCGTGTATGTGTTTCTGTACAAACTTACATGCCAAACTGGAAAGAAATACTTCCCCAAATTTTCAAAGTCATATTGATCAATAAATAAAGCTTTGTTGCGTATATATATATATATATATATATATATATATTAAGATTATGGGTATTAAATCCCTTTGGCATATTGTGTCTGTACACGCACTTCATTGAAAAACATATTATCTCTTTCTTTCCACTGTTTTCAGCCATGTTTCAGGTAATTTTATATATGTATCTTTCTAATTTTTTACATTTTTATTTTGCTCGACAAAGAACCGCTGTAGGTGTAATTTAAAGTTTTCCAGAAAATTGGATTTTCGTGAAGATAATATTACAAAGTCGCCATAAATTGTATTCAGAAATGGCAATAATATCCTAAGTAGGTTGGATAAATGAAAAGTAGGAAATATTTTCCTTATTATCCACCCGCCCTCTCATTCTCTCATTCTCTCTCTCTCTCTTTCTCTTTCAAACACACACACACACACGTAGACACACATACACAAACACACAGCAGAAAGAGAAACATTTCGGTCGTTATACCCTCTGGCCTTCATCAGGGGTATATCAAAATCATGGTAACGGACAATAACATCTGTGTTGAACCCTTTATTTAATCTATGGGGAACGACAGTTCTCGTTCCACTACCTATGTTTTGTTTCGTTCTTATGTTAGTAAAGCTCAGCTATTACTCGCCTTGCTTCCACTTAATCCAAGTAGACACAGCCGGGACAAGGGATTGAACTGTGTCAACAATTAAACTAACCAACGATTTAATAGACAAGGATAGTGTCCTGTTTGGAATTCCCTGTAGGCTACACAGATCGACATAACGCCGAAACGAAATATAAATATCAGGTCAATCATCATCTTCCATCTTGACACCAATTCTTTTATTGTCCTCTCTGTTTATCTCACTCTCAGTAACCCCTTATATCCTAATGTGCGTTATCATCTTACTTGTGTGTGTGTGTGGGGAGACGTAATCATTAATGTATGCATGTATGCATGTACGTTCGAACGTCCATATTCTCAAAAAGTCGTCATCATCATCATCCTCATCATCATCATCCCCTTGACTTTTACAATCGTAGTGGGGGGGATCCGTATGCAAAAGCCATGAATATTTTTCTTTCTTTTGCTTCATAATCCTTTCAGTAGATAACTTGGCGACGCCCATCTCCTTTCCAAGTTCCAAAGAATACCAGGATATAGACAAAGGAATTCTAACTACAAAACGCACAATAGATTACTTCTTAATAATGACTGCGAAAATACAAAAATAACAAAAATAAGTACTTCGGTTTTCCTGGGTATGATAATAAACTACATCCAGCAGCATTTGATCAGGGAATTGCAGATTTTGAGGACCGTGGAACCACTTCTTAATTACTGTTGGTCTTAGGTATATCTTGTCTCGAGGTGATAGTATCTGTTAGTGTCCCAGCTATGGGTAAATTGTACCCCCGAAACGAAAATAGCTTTTATAATAAAATTACCAATAATACCTATTTGCATTATATATTTAGTTAAATCCCCCACAAAAATATGTTAAAAATATTTAGATTTTGGTATTAAATAGCCAACAGAATATTTCTAAACAAAAATCAACCAATGAAACGACTAATTGTCTGTCCACAACTTTGAGCTCAATAATCAATCGAGAATTGGAAAGATATAGTTATAGGTTGTTTTTAATTAAATTTGTTTGGATAAATACTTGCTGCCTAAATATCTTTATATAGAAATTATTATTTATTTCATCTACATAAGAAGACAGTTTAATAATTCATCTATTTATTTCAGAATAGCAACTAACTTTCCAGCAGGCACACAATGTACTGAGCTTAAAATCAGCGTCGACCATCGAGATGTTCTAGTTCTACCCAATCGAGAAAGTTTTCTACAAAGATATAGTTATTTTTCTTAGATAATTGGAATGTATTCTTGTACATTCAAGATGACGGGTGATTTCGAAATTTGGCCGTTTGGCAGAAGTGTTTTGATTAAATGTACTCTCTTGGCGTTGTCGAGGGTTGCCATTAGACACGGATGACAGATTCCCAGCGCCAGAGTGTAACGATCAACGAATTCAGCCTCATCATAACAAAAAACAAAGATGGGGACAATAGTCTGACTGTAAAGTGTGTAAACTCCAGCTTCTTATTCAAGTAGAAAAAGCAACAATTTTTTAAAAATATCATATAACATCCAAAAAAAGAGAATCCAACAAAAGAGAATCGGCGGCGAAGGCGGTCAAGCATGATAGCAGCAACAAAAGTAACAAAAGAGAATCGGCGGCGAAGGCGGTCAAGCATGATAGCAGCAACAAAAGTAACAAAAGAGAATCGGCGGCGAAAGCGATCATGCATGATAGCAGCAGCAAAAGTAACAAAAGAGAATCGGCGGCGAAGGTGGTCAAGCATGATAGCAGCCACAAAGGTGACAAAAGAATCGGCGGCGAAGGCGACTAAGCATGACAGCAGCAACAAAGTAATAAAAAGAGAATCGGCGGCGAAGGCGGTCAAGCATGATAGCAGCAACAAAAGTAACAAAAGAGAATCGGCGGCGAAAGGCGGTCAAGCATGATAGCAGGAGCAAAAGTAACAAAAGAGAATCGTCGGCGAAGGCGGTCAAGCATGACAGCAGCAACAAAAGTAACAAAAGAGAATCGGCGGCGAAGGTGGTCAAACATGATAGCAGCAACAAAAGTGACAAAAGAGAAATGGCGAAGGCGGTCAAGATGATAGCAGGGCAAAAGTAACAAAAGAGAATCGTCGGCGGTCAAGCATGATAGCAGCAACAAAAAGTAACAAAAGAGAATCGGCGGCGAAGGTGGTCGCATAGGCGGTCAAAAGAGAATCGGCGGCGAAGGCCACATGAAAGTAACAAAAGTAACAAAAGAGAATCGGCGGCGAAGGCGACCAAGCATGACAGCAGCAACAAAAGTAACAAAAGAGAATCGGCGGCGAAGGCGGTCAAGCATGATAGCAGCAACAAAAGTGACAAAAGAGAATCGGCGGCGAAGGCGGTCAAGCATGATAGCAGGAACAAAAGTAACAAAAGAGAATCGTCGGCGAAGGCGGTCAAGCATGATAGCAGCAACAAAAGTAACAAAAGAGAATCGGCGGCGAAGGTGGTCAAGCATGATAGCAGCCACAAAGGTGACAAAAGAGAATCGGCGGCGAAGGCGGTCAAGCATGATAGCAGCAACAAAAGTAACAAAAGAGAATCGGCGGCGAAGGCGACCAAGCATGACAGCAGCAACAAAAGTAACAAAAGAGAATCGGCGGCGAAGGCGGTCAAGCATGACAGCAGCAACAAAAGTAACAAAAGAGAATCGGCGGCGAAGGCGGTCAAGCAGTTACAGCGCCAAGGCAAAAAAGAAGATAGGCATTTAGGCGCTTGCCCTACGAGACAACAACCGATTGGACTTTTCGGTAGCGTAGTAATTGTTAGTACAAAATGTTTCATATTTTTAAATAATAGAGTTTTCATGTTTTTGTTTTATCTTTTTCCCACAAACCACTAACTTAAGGAACCAACTGCCAATATGCTGCTTTCCCCATCACTGCAATCTTAACGCGTTCATGTCTTGTGTTAAACGCTATCTTCCATACATAGCCGACAAGCTGTGTCACTTTGTAAACATCTTCCTGGATAGCGCACCTGCTATGTACAGGGTTAACACCACTAAAAAAATTCGTATTTTCTTCCTATTTTTTGTCTTAGTAGTTATTAAGCTTTATTCAGAAAACGGAATTGTCTTTATCATGCTCTATCTAGATATAAAAACGAGGTATTCTTGTCTCAAGCATAATGCAGACTGTCAAAATTCATCTCTTAGTAATCTTGATATATACTGATTTTTAAATATTAGTTTGTCAGACATGAAATGACACAGTTTATAGGAAATAAATAAAACGTTTTTGAAATGTTAAATAACTAATTTATTTAGTGTAAATATGCACCATGTTGGTGAATCACTGTTCTCCGGCGTACCTCTAAATTCTTGCCCGCTCTTCAAAAGAATTCTGATCCTTTGATGTGATAAACAGTTCAAATGTTTTGATTATCTCTTCCTTAATTGAAGAATATATTTTATTGCGTATTAAAAGCTCAAAATGCTCAAATAAGTGATAATCAATAGGAGAGATATGAGGTGAATATGGAGGATAAGGCAAAATTTCATAATTCAGATTATGCAGCTTTTGGAAAGTTGATTGGAAATCGTACAGACGTGCGTTGTCGTGCAGTAAAATTGGGCCATCCCTATTCACAAGTCTGGGATGTTTCCTTCCAAGTTTTTGTGCATACACTCAATTTCTTCAAGATACGAGGTTGCTGCTATTTTCCCCCCTTGAGGCAAGAATGAATAACCCTTTTGAAAGACCACCATATAGTAACCATTAACTATTTACGGTGCAGTGGATGTCTTGGGTATTGTTTAGGTGATTCACTTGCATCTAACCACTAATCTAATCTCTTACCGTTGTCTATGTATCCATTTCTCATCGGATGTAATGATTCAATGCTAAAATGGTCCTTATTCCGAGATTGTATTCATACGGGGAAATTACTCGGCATTGTTTTATTGTAATGATTTTCATTAGGCTTATGAGTTACAATGTATTGAAAGAAAAATTATCTGGAAAGAAAAATAGACAGGAATAAATTATGATTTTTTTATATAGTAAGGAAGTTTGTGTCTATATTTCTGAGATGAGGTCTTATGTACACTATTTACATTATTCGGACAATTGTCCACATCTTTGTCGCCATATTTATTACAACGTTTCGGACATTGTACGCTCCGGCTTTCTTCAGGTGGCTTGAATGTCGAACTGAGCCATTTATTTCGCTTACTGGGGTACACTGTTCTAGTTCCACGTGCCATGTCTAATGGATGTCAGTTATCAGTTATCTCCTGTTAATTCCCCTTTTTATGTTCTCCACCGCCTTAACGGCGTATTGAATTCACACTCTTTGTCACTAGATCTAATTAACGTCTTTATCCGCTGTGCCATGTGTCCTCGTGGATAAAGTAAGTCCAATCCCTGGTTAAGTCGGTGGAGAACTTTGAGATGGGAATTAACCGGAGATAACTGATAACGGACATCCATTAGACATGGCACGTGGAACTAGAACAGTCTACCCCAGTGAGCGAAATAAAGGGTTCAGTTCGACATTCCAACCACTTAAAGAAGGCCGGAGCGTGCATCGGTCGAAAATATGACTACAAAGATGAAGACAATAGTCCGAATAAAGTAAATAGTTTAGCAAGGGGGTTACTTCGTTAGACGACCGGATCAACAGCCAGCCGAAAAAATGAGCCATTTCATGTGCGACAATCTAGTATTTCGTCACAAGATGTCAATTAACTGAAAATACCTCTTAAAATAGTTTATTACTGTAACATATAATATTCTTTAAAATCCAGAATTATCTAAAAGCATTAATCCTATTTAATAAAAAAATCATTTATTCTTTTAAAAAAAAAGAACACATTTTGGAAGACTTCTGAAGTGACAGTTTGGATTTACACCAATTTTCAAATGGTAATAAAGATGCGTTAATCTGTTCTTCCGAGTAAATTCAACCCGTTTCTCTTCGTTAGTTTAAATTTGGAATCTTGGTTTTCCCCAGGGTACTCACATATTAAACCCACACAGCATGCATTATCACAGAATCATGCAATATATTTGCCTGGATGTTATTATTGACTATATTCTTTTAACAATTCAACATTTTAAACATATATATCCTAGTTCTCTTTTTATAGTAGAAACTCTTTTCATGAATGGTGTCAGTTGCCGGTAGTTTTCCATGTTTGTGTTATCGGCTGTATTGTGTGTAGGAACTTTTCCACACTTTCCACATATTAAACTGTCATCTGTGTGATACCAGTGAATTTAGACAAATGACAATTGTAATACAAGGATGTAAACAAAGGAATTCTAACTACAAAACTCACAACACATTGGATCTTAATAATGACTTAGAAAATACAAAAATAACAAAATATGAACTTCTGTAGTCTTGTTAGATCAATTACGACTGAGTAGTGAGTTCAGTCCTCCCATAGTTTCGGCCTTGTGCCAGAACTAAAGTACACTTAAGAAATAACAATATCCATAATAGTTTGATATTTTTTAGATTGGATGAGTGTATCGAAACACATAACTGAAGCTACAATTTAAAACAATTGTAGCTTCAGTTATGTGTTTCGATACATGACTGACGAGGCAGATTTTTTTCCCCGCAGTATGTTGCCATTTCTTCGTACGGTAGACCACTTGAACCCAGTCTGTCCTTTGCCTATAACTGGGGGTGAAGAAGAAGAGGATTCATACCTTTCCCAAGGGTATTAGCACGTAAGTCAATATAATGGATTCAACTGGAATTCGAACTCGGATCTTCGATTTCTCAATCCGAGCCGTTATCCATTACTACATCCGTGCCTCATCGATAGATACATGCTTATAAGTTAGTCCCGCTGTGTAACATAGTGTGGCATAAGGTTACATAAGAAGAGTATTTGACAAAGCAAAATAATATAATTGGTAAATTAGTCTGCGACACGTACTTGCTATCTTTCGCCTAGCCTCTTAACTATTACTCTACGGAAAATAGGAAAACTTCATTCCATTGCCTTCCGAGTTGTTTCGTATTTCATAAGCTATTTCTTTCAGTTATGTGGCATGCGTAATACACGCTTAGGCGATCATGTATCTTTCGATCCATGACTGACCGATTTTTTTCCGCAGTAGGTTGCCATTTCTTTCTGCAGTAGACCAGTTTCCTTCCAAGGCTAGAGAACCCGATCTGTCCTGCTATTTTCCAATAGCTGGTGGAGAAGAAGAGGTTTCATACCTTTCTCTTTTACGTAAGTGAATGTAATGAATTCGAATGGAATTCGAACTCGGCTCTACCGATTCCTCAATCCAAGCCGCTATCCATTACTCGACCGTGCCTCCTTTTTTTGGAAATGAAATAGATTGGGCGCTAATCCATGGAACATCTCCAAGCCTCTGTCCATTAATGCATCGTGCTTAACAATTTGTTTTGTTCACGCACCATCAGCTAGGAACATAGCTTGGACCGGTGCATATTGTGCGTTTGTAGGCTGGTGAATCTGTAATTGCAACACAGAAAGTTTTTCGTGCTTATTTCATTTTACGCCGGAACGAAGCTGTTCCGGATAGAAAATCAATGAAGCTAGGGTTTGACAATTGCACGGCCACAGATTCAGCGCATAAAATAAAGCCAGTTAGACGACCTCGAGGCGCTTGATCACCAGAAAATGTCCAGTCTCTAGAAATCGTCTATGGCGAAGAGTAGCCATCATTTGATGGACATCATTCTTAAAACTAAATGAATAAAAAAAACTGTAGTCCTTTAAAACAAACAAAAGAAAGTGAAATAGTTTTCCTTTTCCTTTTTTTTTCTATTCCTGTCGCACCCTATAGTAGAAATTCTAATCAGTGCTCGAAGAAATATTTTTATGATTCCATGGTGTGTGTCTTTTAAACGACAGTCAGCTCCTTACTTCCATTGTCATATCAAGTTGGGACTTAGCTTCAAATGTTTTATATGAAGTAGTTCAGCTATTTCAACATCTACAGTTAGATTTCTTTAGAGCGAAGGTATTATCGAAAACAATGTTTACTAATTGGGACAAGCAGTTATAAGTGTAATTGACTACCTGTTTCATTATGACACTAAAATCATTTAAATGGTTTGTGAGACTTTCTAGTAATTGTTACCCCCACGCGCCATACATACAATGTAAATAATTACTTGTATATTTGTCAGCGAAACGTTTAGTCTTGTTTGGTGTGTTGTTATTTATAATTAGTAGGTCTGATCACAAAGTATCTAAACTGTTACTATGGTAACGGAGCTAAAGTAAGCAGAGTTAAGCCTCTTTCTTCAGATTGACTGTGAACTCTATCGCGTATACAGACTAAGTCTTAATGTTCTCGCTCACTTCTCTTGTTTATATAAGTGCTTGGAGTTCATGATGACGGTCGTCTTCGAGTATAGAATCCAGAGGTTAGCAGTGAATATTTCGAAGACAGTAGGGAGGCGTAGTTCAGGTTAGCAGTGGATATCCCGGTAAAGTAGCAGAGCGTAGATCTTCCTTCTGTTTCTCTTCGCCTGACAAGCTGGCACTGGACATTCGGGTAGGGTAGACAAAATGGCCGCCTTTATACACGACGGATTGAATATTCTACGTCTTCTGATTGGTTAACCTTCTATTGGTGGACTATAAAGTGTGTCAAGTCATTTGGGCTAACTCACTAGTAGATACATATACACAAAAAACTGCAACACTTGGAAGGATAGTGTGCAGAGTGTGGTCATCTCACCCTCCACCCCAGAGAAGTTTAATCAATGTCCATGGCTTTTGTAGCAGTTTTAGAGTAAAGAGAACATTTCCCAGGTCCGGTAACCACCATGTTTTATAGATC